GGAGGAGGAGGAGGAGGAGGAGGAGGAGGAGGAGGAGAATTATTGTGGGGTCCTTGGTGTTCCCTAAGCTTGGTTGTTATCTTGCAGATGTTTCATCACCCAATTAGGTATCATAAAACAATCAAACAGTAAACAACAACCTAATCAAGGAACTATCAAGAAGAAAACAACACTCCTACTAGCACTGAAAGGGCAAGCCACTGGTATATAAACAGAGGAAGCACACACACACACACACCGCCTTCTAGCACTGATGATGTTACCTAGTTGGCTCATGAAACGTCTGCAAGAAAACCACCAGGCTCAGAGAGCAGCAGTCGAACCCTGAGCTTACAAATACTCCCTTCTACTGAGTCTTTGAATCTGGTTCCATTGAAGCCACGGCTGGGCCAGAAATGGCCACCGTCCCGATCGAAGGGGCCTTACCTGCAACTGCCAGACGCTCTGGCTGTACCCGGAGACTTTGGTAACGGTTTCACTCATCAGGGCAATCAGCATGTTGAGCAAGAGGATGTAGGTCAGGATGACGAAGAGAAGGACCAACAGCATCGCCACGTCGCTGTGCTTCAACTTCTCGTTGTACTCCAGGTCGCCCATGCCGATGGTGAACCTGAAGAGCTCCAGGGCCGTTTGAAGCAGCTCCGAATATACGACCTGGTCTTTAGAGTCATCGCTGAGCGGGAGGGACTCGTTGCGGGCGGGATGGGGAGCGTCCCGGGTGAGAATGACGAGAGCTGCAAGGAGTCATTGGAAGTTTCAGCCCTTCCCCCGCGCAACGTTTGGGGAAACTTCTCCGTTTAAGGGACAGGAGACCCAAAGTGGCTGGTTGATCTTTGGAGGCCCCGTTACTTCTTCAACTGATTGTTAAATTTGTATTTGCTTCAAGATACCAAGAAATTAGATGATTAGAGGTCTGGAGGCTAAAACATATAAGGAACGGTTGCTGGAATTGGGTCTGTCTAGTTTAATGAAGAGAAGGACGAAGGGGGACAGGATAGCAGCCTTCCAGTATCTCAGGGGCTGCCCCAAAGAAGAGGGAGTCAAGCTATTTTCCAAGGCGCCTGAAGGCAGGACAAGAAGCAACGGGTGGAAACTAATCAAGGAGAGAAGCAACCTAGAACTAAGGAGAAAGGAAGTGAGAACAGTGACAGTGAGAACAATTAACCAGTGGAACAACCTGCCTCCAGAAGCGGTGAATGCTCCAACACTGGAAGTTTTTTACGAAGTGACTGGACAGCCATTTGTCTGAAATGGTACTATAGGGTTTCCTGCCTGAGCAGGGGGTTGGACTAGATGACCTCCAAGGTCCCTTCCAATTTTTATTATTATTATTGTTATTGTTATTGTTATTGTTATTGTTGTTATTATTATTAATCATCACACAGTCAGCCAGATGTTCAGACTGGATTTGGCATTTTTGTCTACCTATCGAGTCCTTCCCAAGGACCTGGGATAGGCAGATGTGGATGTTTGATGGTATCACAGATATCGTCGCAGGATGGAAGCGGTTCCTAGTAAGGCCGCCTTTTGCAATTGACTAATGGCGAATTTGTCAATGCCAATGGTGTTACTACTACTACTACTACTATTATTATTATTATATCTGGACTTAGTCTGAGCATAGAATATCTAAAAGGCTGTTTTGACATCTTGTAGCTGTTTGTGAGAAGAAAAACCAGGTGCTGATTTTGTGTGATGTATAGAAGGGCAGACAAGGTGGTCTCTGCTTTCTGATTGTGTATCCTTCACCCATTCATCCTCTCATTTATTCATTCATTCATTCATTCACTCAGGCATTCACTTGTTCACTCATTTAGTCATTCGTTCTCTCACTCCTTTACTCATTCACTCATTTTCATTTAGTCATTCATTCATTCACTCATTCATTCACTCATTCATTCATTCATTCATTTTGTTCACTCATTCACTCTCATCTACTCCATTCATTCATTCATTCATTCTCTCATTTGTTCATTCACTCGTTCATTTTGTTCGCTTGTTCGCTCACTCATTCATTGACTCAGTCGTTCACCAACTTATTCATCCACCCATCCACTCATTCATTCATTTAGTCATTTGTTCCCTCTTTCACTCACTTGTTCACTTATTCATCCCCTCATTCATTCATTCATTCTCTCTCACTCACTCATTCATTCATCTTTCATTCATCCATCCACTCACTCATTCGTCCACATTCATTCACTCACTCACTCATTCATTCATTTAATTTTGTTCACTCATTCACTCTTATTCACTCTCATCCACTCATTCATTCATTCATTCTGTTATTTATTCATTCACTTGTTCATTTTGTTCGTTTGTTCGCTCACTCATTCATTGACTCAGTCATTCACTCACTTATTCATCCACCCATCCACTCATTCATTCATTTAGTCATTCGTTCCCTCTTTCACTCATTTGTTCACTCATTCATTCATTCATCCACTCTTTCATTCATTCACTCCCTCATTCATTCATTCCATTTC